TAGAAGATCAATCGACCATGCTTCCCAACGTGGTCACCATCGACAAGGCTGCCACGCCGTCCACGCCCGACATGGCAAACTCGCCTGCCACTGTCTCCGAGGCGACAAGCAGTCCGTCGAAGAAGAGCGTCAGGTTTGCGCCTGAGGCTGCTGCGTCGCCGAGCTCATCCAATACGACTGTCTCTGCGCTTTCTTCACCTTTTGCCAACCTTGTTGTCTCTTCTACCAACGACAACAACACAGACTCCATCTTTCTTGCCGGCTTCAGATCAATCATGGAACGCACTACTGACAAAGACGCCTTTGTGCACCGCCAGCCACGCCTGGAAAGCACCCACGTCCTTCGCCGCAACTTCTCCACTGCTTACCTGCGCACCCTCCACAGCGATTATGAGGTTGCTGAGCCCAGCCGTCCGGTCTCTACTCGCCCAATCTCGACCATGCTTCCTGCTCCTTCTCCTGAAGATGATGCAAAGCGGGAAGTCATCGCCGCTGTGGAGCGCGAACGCAGTGTGCTCGAGCAGCTCAGCCCTCAGTTCTGGGAGTTGGAGGCTCTCGCCTACCTCCGCAGTGGTAGCCTTCTCACCAAGGAAGTGAACGTACACATTGCTTCCACCGCCAATGCACAGATCCTCGACTTTGGAGGCAAGCCCAATGCCGACTGGGCTTGGTGCATTGCTACCTCGTTCCCCATGGCAAAGGTGTGCACTGTTTACTTTGAGCCCACCACCGAGATATTGGAGGCTCCCTCCAACCATGTCTCTGTCGAGTGCGAGAAACCTTTCCAGTTGCCCTTTGCAGACAACACTTTCGATCTCATCAGCGCACGCACTCTGCACTCTCTCCTCAAGAGCGAGCACTGGGCTTCCACACTCACAGAACTCCACCGCGTGCTCAAGCCTTCTGGATACCTCGACCTTAACCTCCTCGACGCTCTCCTCATCAATGTCTCCGCCGGCTCTTGGGGCCAAGTCATGAATGCCGAGTTTGGCCACAAGCTGCAGCAGCGCGGCTATGAGAGAGAGCCCACCAAGCAATTCTTGGGCAGACTCGAGGCTGCAGGGTTCAAGGACATCAAGCGCATGTGGATGTTCTTGGGCATGGGCGATGTGAGACCTACCTGGACTGACGAGGGCAAGAGTCCTGCTGTTGCCAAGCCACCTACTCGTGCTCTGCCTGCTATTCCCGGTATTGGCCATGCGCCTACTCGTGCTTTGCCTGCTATCCCCGGCGCTGGAAAGGGAAAGCAGATCAAGTCCCCCGTGANNCTCCCAAAGGCAACGCTTTCGCCAAGTCGCCCGCTACACCCAAATCCGCCGCCTCCACCGCATCTCCAGTCGAACGCACAACCANAACCTACCGGTGCAATCCACTACAAAGTCCCCATCCGCGACGCCTCTGGCAACATGCTCCTCGGCCCCGACGGCAAACCTTGTTTCTACCCTCCCGCCCTCACCGGCAGCACCTCTGCCGTTGCCCCCGTGACTGGTCTTTTGGGCGCCAGACTCTGGGAACAGTGGGTGTACAAGTTGGCCAGGGAGATGGGTGGGGAAGCTGCTGAATTGCAGATGTTGGAGCAGGTTTGTGGTGTGCTTGAGCAGGGAGGCAAGGCGGGCAGTGGAGTCAGTTGGTTGTTGGGTGTGTGCAAGAAGTGAATGAGAGGTGAAGAAGTGGTGATGAAGATGGAGGAGATGGGAAGTGGTGATGAAGACGAAGGAGTCGGGAAGTGGAGGGTGAGAAGTGGTGATGATGAGAAGCATGGCTGAAATGGTTGCTTGGTTTTTCTTTTTCTTTTCTTCTCCTTTTTGTTTCTTTACCTGTTGTCGTATCCAGTCGCTCCTTTAATCTTCTGATGTGTTGCTCGAAGAACCAACCTTTTTGCTTGGAAGTGACTACGTATTCGTGTTCGTGATCGTATTTTGCTTGCTCTCCGTATGCAAAAGACAGTTGCAGCCTACAACAATCGGCCCGTCTCCCTCACTAACCCATCTTACCATTATGAGCTATAAAAATGCACAGTCATCTTCTCAATAGAGATGTCACGGCGGAGATGCCTAAACACAAGCTTCTCTCCGTGAATGTCGCTCTGATGTTCGACCTCTCCCTGACTTCGGGTCTCCTCCATGATCTACGAACGGCGGCAACTCGCGTCTTGCGGAGCTCAGGAGACTGGACGTATGCTTGACGACGGCAAACGTTGCGTTCTTGTCGGTGCTCATCCGTCTGCGAGGCTCTATAGCTGCGGTGGGTCTCAGCCCTCTTCATGCGCAATTCAGAAGACTCCGCATATTGGCGCAAGGGAGCCAGGCGTTCTTGTCGCTTTTTGTCCAACTCGTTTCCATGAGCAGCCCTTGTAATGACGGTAGCACGAGTGGTGGAAAAGATAACAGGGAGAACATGGTTGGCACACGTCTACCGGGTGAGACGGAGAGGCCAACGCCGAAGAGACTACGGACGCGTCTCGGCCTTGGTCGGAGAACAGAAGAAGGTACATCTGATAAGATCCAACATTGTCAGGCAGGGGCTAACCGCAACAGGCAGTGATGCAGGCCCAACCCCAGGCAAAACGCCGTGCGCAGCTCTAATTTCCAACAAAAACAATGCCGCTGCAAACCGAAGTCAAGTTAAACAACGACCGATGTGTCAGGAGAAAAATGCCTTGACTCGCTGCGAGATAACAGGTCAAGCTGTCCCTCTTGACCTGCCACTCTCATCGCACATCTATCTCTCTCACTCACTCTCCTTAACGTCCCACTCATAACAGAATATGGATATGCAACATCAAACTCACAGAGAGCCGCCATCCTTCATTTTCACCAGAAGCACCCGCATATGGGAATTGCTAGCTGGAGATGTCGCTGCTGCCGCCGTCTCTGCCACTCTGGTCGCTCCCACAGTGACCATCATTGACAGGGCAATCGTTGAAAAGGCCTCTTCCAACCAGCCTTTGTTGAAAAGTCTCCGCCACCAAGCCTGGTCTCTGGTCAAGTCCCCGCGCCAATTCATGCTGTCACTACCTTTTGGCATCGTCTGGTCTCTTTACGCTGGAACCTATGGAGTCGCAAATGTTGCAGAAACCATCTCGGAAAGACTTACTCCAGAGCATGTTGGAACTATTGTCGGCGCATCTGCCTTCCTCGTCAATGTTCCCCTCGGTGTTTGGAAGGACGTCCGCTTTGCTCAAATGTTCGCCCGCGTTCCATCCCGCGTAGCCAACACAGCAGCAGCCGCTGCAACGGCAACAGTCCCCATGCCCAAACTCCGTCCTTCGCGTTCGGCAACAACAGTCTGGCTCGTACGTGACGCGTTGACTTTATTCGGATCATTCACCTTTGCGCCTCGGCTAGCGGCGGCTATCCCGGACAACTTGGCAGTCCACCCTCAGACCATCTCTCAGCTATCCGTACCCGCTCTGACGCAGATTGTTGCGACACCGCTGCATCTGCTCGGCTTGGATCTGACCACGAGACAGCATCACATACCTTGGATGCAGAGAATCGCCGATACTACCCGGTCTGGCTTGCTTTCTACTACTATTGTGCGATGCTTCCGTATCCTGCCTGCCTTTGGCTTTGGCTGTATTGGAAACACGGAAATGCGCAAGGCTTTGCACAAGCAACATGAGCAGTTCGATTGAGCCAAGTGTCCGAATCAGATCATCACAAGCCCACAGGGAAGCTGGCTTCCCTCGTTGTGTCAATGCGGCCGTCGACGGCTTAGCTCGAAGCCTCCATATGGACATCGGCCATGATGCTATTCCGTACAGCTATATCATCAGGACCTCCACAGACATCTTTCCACCGAGATGCGCAACCGTCGAGACTCCAGCTTCGACGACTTGGCAGGATTGTACCTGGAAGCGATGCAAGGCCGTTCCAAACAACTGCCAGCAGCAGCGTACATCACCAGCTGTCTATGGCTACCACTTCGTGTGATTACAAGCCGCGATACTCGTCGTGCACTCCAAAGAGCCCTGCTATCAAGCATTCGCACCGGCATTCAAACATATCTCACGACTTCATGACGACCACAATATATATACATATGCATCTTTCCTTTGTTATGACAGCATATAAATACAGCCATCAATATTCTTTACAGCATCTGATGCTCAGTTCCACAGTTCTTTCCTCGCAGGTGAACAAAGTACTCCCATCAGCAGCACTTGAATGCTTATCGCATCGCCGTTCGCTCTCATTGACGCTGGAAAGATAGTGATCTTCGGCTTGACCTTCGCCATGCCGCGCCATCCGCCGATGGTGATCACTATCCGGAGATAAATATGCAAACTGTCGGCTTACTCGTAGTATATTTACATTTACTTTGGCAGCCATCATTGATGTATCGACTCGTCTAACTTCCAACTGCGACAAGACACCTTCGCCGAAGTCCTGTGCCTGTTTGCGAGACACTCAGTGAAGCGTGGAGTGTGTCAAAGGATCCTGCGAGTGCCCCGCATCCATCCTCCGCTGTTTTCTCGGCCCTACAACCTTAATATAGGCTGATCCTTATAGAGACGACTTGTCTTTCTACACACCAAATCAATGCCTCAACAAGGGACAATGCGACGGATTCTGCGGACTCTTATCCTTGCCGTTGGATTCGCAGCTCCGCTCTTCAAGTATCCAGTATATGCCTGCGTCGCCTTCACCCTCACGATCTTTTGGAACCATCTGTTTCCAACCTCGCGACCAAGCCCGGAAACCTTGCTTTTACCGGCCAAAAAGCCATACTTGGCTGCTCTGAAACCACTTGAGGAACCGAAAAGTGTGGAAGGGGAACATTGCCCGACTTGCTGGGATGAACTAGACGCGACAAATGCACCCACAAGATTGGCTTGCGGCCATGTCTTTTGCAACGAAGACATTCTGAACTGGATCAAGTCGGGCAAAAACACATGTCCAGTCTGCAAANAAGTGCTCTTCCAACAAGCAATGTTCCGAGGCAAAGACGCGATTGCAGAAANNAAACTGCACAAGGCGAGAATGTGCCTGGTCACCATGAGTGTCCTTACAACCCTCTTGCGACAAATCTGTGCATTCATCGCTAGACACCCCGAACGACATGTACAGCTCACATGGCAATTCCTCAACCCTATCTACTACCTCACTGGCTATGGCTCTACATGGTCAACCATCAGTGCCTTTTCCGTCACCTTCTTTGATATCATGCAACTTGTCATTACATACCGTGGCTCCAAGACTCTTGGCCCAGAGTGGTTCCGAATCTTCCCTGGTCATTGGAGTCTGTGGTTGATGCTGTTGTATATCTCTGCTAGCAATCTGCAGGAGGGCATCAAGGGGTGTAGGCATTTTGCGTGGGTTGCTTGGAGGATTTTTGTTTGGAGATGGAGCGGCAGTGAAGAAAGTTTCTTGTTCTCGGGAGCGAGGATTGTGCCGGACATCAAGGAGTGAGTAGAGGAAGCGGCGGGGGATCTTGTTCTTGAGCTTACGGATGCGTGGGACGAGTTTGGGAACAAAGTTGTCTGAGGGCGACGATAACCGTACAACATGGAGAGATCTTGCTGCAGGCCTGGACTTGAGATTTTTGCAGATGTCTCCCTCGTAGAGATCTTTCGCATGACACGACAGGGCACTGATCTATTGACACTCCAAAGGTGATACAATCCCAGCTTTCCTATAGACTACGTACAGTGGCCAATGATCCACGCCCTGATGCTGCCAACAACCCTGGTCAGAGCACAAGCTGATGGCCGTGACATCGATCGTTGCAGCAACACATCTCGATATTGAAAAGATGGCTAATTCCGGAATGGCTAGTGGCACAACAAACGGGAAGGAGTCAATGGGTCTGTGACCCATCTGGTCTCATGCGCTCCTTCCAGACGGAAAGTTTACTTGATGACGCCATCGAGCTGCGGTAAGGAAGATGGGAGCAAAGGCAAATATTCAGCGAGTCACAGACCTGCCGCCTTGCTCATGAGTGTTTTGGTTGACTCTTGGTTGACGGTCAAATTCGCTGCTGCTCTTTGTGAGCCAGTGGCTTCACCGACCACGACACAAACGGTCCGCGGAGTCGAGAGTTTACTTGTTTGTTTAGCATATCTAACAATCCCATCGTACAGAAGCTTTTAAATCGTCTATTCTGGTATCTTAACTTTTTCTACGATGATGAGTAATGGAAGCGTTTTCGACCGACACTTTATAAGCTGACATTAATAGCCAAACACAAGAATCCAGGCACAGATGTTGAGAACCTGCTGATCCCCTTCTTCCTTCTGTGACCATTAGGTTCTTGGACACGATGGTGGATCCTATATTGAACATTGTCTTGATATCGTGCTATACCACTTGTTTAACATCTCTGAGTCGGTGCTCGATGAATTACATCCGCATAGGTTGAACTTTTAGAAAATCTGCTTGACGTTCTTCTGCAACTACAACATACAGCGCCAGAATAGTAAGAATACGTATCTGGAAAGATGATCCAAGTCTTATGTTTTGACATGTTGCCTACACTGTCTCGACTGGAGTGGCTGCGAAATCAGAAGGTTTTGCTTCCTCCTCATCATCATGAACGGCAAACTTGCTACGATGTCTGACCCGCCTTCCAAACTTCCAAAAGCCGAATGCAACAACACAGTACGCTGTAGCGATGCCTGCCATAATGGAAGCCGCACCATTGTTCCCAACGTTCTTGAACATGGCAGTCCCAAACAGAGGCAAAGCACCACTCAACAGCGCTCGCATGATTGCTAGTGGTGCGTTTGCCGATGCCGCCCACGAGCCATATGCGTCCGTGAGATAGCCTGACAACACATAGTCAAACTCGCTGGCGGCAAAGCCTACGACAACAAGAGCCGACATTGAAACAAAGGGTGACACTGTCGTCACAGCGGAGGGAATAGTCCAAGCAAAGTACCAACTCGCCATAGCAAGCAAGGGAGCAGCCAGATAAAAGCCGAATAGTTTGTCTTCAGGTACTGCGGACGCCCCTCTGTTTCTCTGCCTGTTGGACACGTGTATGTCATAGAATCGAGGCAATAAAGAAAAGAAAGGCCCGATGGTGAAGGTTAGGTTGATCAGACTGCTTTTTCTTGGAGCGTACCCAAAGCCGTCTGTGTAAACCACGTTGATAGCTTCTGCAAAGAGGTATATCGTTGCGTATATCATAGAGCATACAACAGAGAGGGAGGTGATGATGGGCTCTGTGAAGAAGAGTCGAGCGGGACGTGTCAGGCATTCAGACACGAAACTCTGCAATGAGGGCGGATTCTCTTGGACAAGAGGGCGAAAGTCTGGCATAGATCTGGTTGAATCGTTAGTGTGTTCAAGAAGACCAAGGGGGTAGTCCTATCTTACCTGNTCTTTTTGTTTGTTGGCGACTTTTTTCATATTGGTCTCCAGTAACTTGCTGGCTCTACTTTCTTTCATGAACACAGCCAGTAATGTAATAACAGCAGTTAGTATAGCTGCAATCCAATAGGTCCATTGCCTAAGATGTATCAGCCAAAGAACCCATCCTCAGGAGCGGATTGAAACCGACCAACCAAGCGTGGAAGTAGCGAGATATGTCCCCATGACTGGCCCAATCCCCAAGCTCGAAACAGCAAAAGCGGTGTAAACACTCAACACCCATATTCTTGCTCTTGCATCCCATATGTCTTCAAGAGACCCATAGGACACTGTACTGGGAAGAGCGCTTGCAAATCCCGAGAAGAATCGTCCGACTACAACCCCAGCAGTATGGTCTGGGGCTGCGACCACAAGGTTCGAAACAGCGTACACAGCGCAACCAATGATGTACGAAGGTCGACGCCCAAGGCTTTCGGTCAATGGAGGCAGAACAAGACTACCGAAAGCCTGACCGAGTAGATATCTGATACTGATGTGAGCTACATGGTTCGCAAAAGATCAAGTCGACACGTACAAGGTTGTAAAGCAAAATATTGCTACTGTCTCCGAGATACCCAATTCTTCAGCAGCATAATTTGCCGAAGCAGTCTGACACAAGTAATAGTCAGTATCTTGCAGTGGAGGATGAATGTTCAACATCTTACACCAGTATTGCTAAAGATTGTTCTAATGCCAGATTAGTACGACTCAAAAATCAAGAGAACAGTGACAAACTCACGCGATGAATTCAAANAGAATCACCAAGAACGAGTCGTAAAGCTTCCGGTCGATATCCCAGTTTCTAGGATGTTGTGAACTGCCCTCTTTCCAGTGGACTAGACCTTCCTTTGTTAGAGCAAGACCGTACTTGGAGAAGTCGGCATGAACAGCCTCTGAGATTTTTGGCTCATCGGAGCCACTCGAGCCGTTACTGTTGCTCGGTTCTTTTGATGGTTGTGTTGAGTTGTCATGCTCGCATCTCAACGACCCTTGGCGGCTGAGCATAGATTCTTGTCTGTGACGTAGGCAGCCTGTTCTGTTGAATTCACCAGGCAGATATGGAAATTTTGTGAAGGATGGAAAAACAGTCAATGGAGACAAGAGATGTATGCTCTTGAGTGACCTGCATTGGCCCGTCCCCGACGATCACAAACAGTCATGCTCGCTTTATAGTCTACAAAGGTGACAACGACCTCATCTTCCGATTTTGGTGTAAGCCCCGGAGAGGCCTAAGCACAAGAAGGTGCATTTTCCCCATGGAGACAAAGCATGGGGGACGTTGGATGGTTACATCATCACCACTTCTTTGCTCGACAGTCTCAAAGAGATCAACTTTCACTGTCCTGAACACATTGACACAGTGTGATGCGTACACTACACAGTGGCGTACAATCATGCTTAAATATCCGGTTGTGCTAAGTGACAACTCCTTCCAGTTTGGTGTCTACCAAGAAAAAATTGATTTGCTGACTCTTTCCACCGTCGCTGACTACGGTAGCAATCTCTGTGATTCTGGTCTCTCAATGCACAAAATCATCGACACGTCTTAGTGTAGAGATCTTGGTTGCTTCTGTAGTTTTGTTTTCAAGCTCTGTTTGGACCATGATAATTCTTCGACAAGGAACAGCACATGAGCACCACAACCGCATCAAAAGCGATGAGGCTCTGGTCGATCTGTAACGTGCCGGGCCGGCTGGCTACATGGTCATCGAGAACGGTATCGAGTGTACCGACTCGCATATAGAAGCTGTACCACCTCTGACTATCATGGTTCTATTCGCTGAAGGGGCCGATCAGGCTACGGTTGAAGTAGACTCAGCGCCCTGAATCTGGCGCCATCAAATATTGCAACCTTCTCTTCTGACAAGTTCCCGGCAAGTGAACGTCAAGATCTCGGGTAGTCAGGTTTCGTCGTGTTTTTGAGAGCAAGGGAACCGTGTCTCGTGACATTGACGGCCGCGTCCTGCTTGAAGGACTTGTTCTTGATAGAATTTGCGCAAGCAAAAGCAGTCCGGCAAGGAAGCACACTGTGAAGCTGGAAGTTTCTTCGATTGTAGAGTCTGGAGCGACTTGTGTGACCAATAATCGCGGACTGATATCGTGTCTTTCGATGACTAGTGTCAATGGTTGCAGATTCACCTGAGTTGGTGGGAGTCCCTCGTGTTGCTCCCTTACCCTGTTCCGGAGTCGAAACCACTGCGTACGTTGTTTGGTCTGACGTTGTGGAGTGCTTTGACCCTTGCATTCAGCTCTCTTATCGTTGTGCAATCTTGGTANGCTTTCGGCAGACCACCGTCTGCACTCTGGATGAAACAGGTATGGCAGCTGTTGGCGTTGGTGTCAGGCGAGTCTGGTCCAGCGGTCCGTTTCCACCATAACTTGAGACTACCTTTTCTTATCNNAGCAAACATCCCTCACAGTAGTGTTCGACCTTCTGGGAATACACTTTGGGATGATGCGAAGCCCAGTTCACCAATCCTCTGATCGTTGGGTGTCTATAANACCCATTTATATACCACATCTCTTTGTCTGGTTAAGGGGTCGTTGGCTCTTGCTGGTCGCATTCGCTCATTGTTCCTTAGTCGATTTNNCTCGGGTCGCTGCCTGTAATGGGCAAGGTACTCCTTCCCTCTGGGTAGCTGACGCCGTTGTTAGATTTGGGCGAGCGTTCTAGCTTTGTGCTGCGGGTTGGTTGCCGCTCTCCAGGCGCTGTACACACGCCCGTATTCAAGCTTGGCTTGATANACATCCTTGGCCTTTTCCAAGATTTGAGGTTCGGAATCTTGGGCGAACTTCCAGGCTTGTCGAGCGAGTTTCAATTGATGCTTGGCCTCGATCACATCGGCCTCGCTCGTTGTCCGATTGCGAAACTGAGATCGAGGAACGTGGAAAGGTCTTTCTTCGTGACTGGTCTTGATCTTTGGTGTAGCCCAACAAGTAGAGAACGAGCGAGAGCTGTTTGATGCTGTCTGAAGAGGCTTTCATGATTGCCCCATCAAGGTTCGGATGGTCGAGGAGGGCGGTAGTTGATTTTGTAGAGCTTTCTTTCTGGCCGCAACTTCTCTGATAGTTTTACAGCCTTTGTAGTCTTTGGGAAGACCTCCCTCTGGGTGTTTCATGTAGCAGCTGTGGCAGGTAAAGTCTTGCGAATCGATCGTCCACCATACCCTCGAATCGTTATGTGAACCGCACTCATGGCACCATCGCCCAATGGCCTCGTGGTAGAATACAGGATGCCACGGTGTCCAGTCCAAATCATTGCGAAACCACTCATACGTGACGACCCAACGATATAGACACCCACGGAATAGGTCCTGAGCTCTGCGTTGTCTTTCGTAGATCCTGCGGTCCTCACGGTGTTGGGAATCAGCTGCACGTTTGCGAGCTACGTAGTCCCTCATATAACTCAGACGTTCAGCGCGACGTTCGGGATCATCCTCGTATATTAGCTTCTTAACCTGACCAGAGTTGTTGCCAGTATGTTTGGAGCGTGCAGCGCTCATCGCATTCGCGCATTGTGTTGAGTAATCAAATTTTTGGTTCCATGTTGAATTGTATAGCAGTCGAAGAGTGCTTGACAGATGTGATTGATGTCCAGAGAGAGGTGTGACTTCAAATGTCTTGATCAAGGATCTAGTTGCCATCTTTGAAGACGCGTGAGACAAGCATGAGACCTAACTGATAGGGTCAGACTCGAACAAGTTTTTACGACCACAGGCCATGTTTTGCAGCGTGTCGGCGACGAGTGCTGATGGAAAGTTCAGCGGTAAGAGCGTCGGCTGAGCCTCGGCGAACGACGATAGAGCAGACAATTAACAGTAATTAGTCTGGATTTCCTCATCAACCAAGTCGGCCAGCGAGAAGCGTCGGCTTTGTCAGAGCTGAACACGCCTCTGTCATGCAACATAGCAATGTATAGAAGACAAATGCAGACTAAGTCGTTTCCCTTTTACCTCGCCCAAGTATTCCATGTCCCTCTGTCGTTTTCCTACCTTCTTCTTCTTCTCTGCATATAAAAAGCGTGCGTCGTCTTCATGAGACTGCTCATCTCCATCTTAATCTGCATTGCAGCTGTCGCATACCATCAACGACAATTCAGCCTACCCTACCTAACTACGAAGAATATCGCCACGACCGCTACAAACTCTACCTACGCAGCAACGACAAATACTACAATGGCACCTGCACAGTCGACCTTCAAGGGCCTCCCTGTCATCCCGCCCAACGACCCCTCATTGACTGCCACTTCCACCACACCCCGCAAGATCCGTAAGGTGTTCGAGGCCATCGACCAAGCCGAGGGTGCAGGCGCAAGAGTCAGAAGATCAGTGGGCACAAGAGAGTTGAAGAACTTTACACCTTTCCTCATGCTCGTACGTCGCCTTGCACACCCTTACACAAGGCAAGAAGCACAACTAACACAACCCAAACAGGACCACTTCACCATCTCCCCTGGCGCAGGCTTCCCTGATCACCCTCATCGCGGCCAAGAAACCATCACCTACCTCCTCAGCGGCGCCGTCGACCACGAAGACTTTGCCGGCAACAAGGGCACCATTCACGCCGGCGACCTGCAGTTCATGACAGCAGGAAGAGGCATCGTGCACGCCGAGATGCCCGCCCAGAACCCTGACGGCAGCGCAAACATCGGCATGCAACTATGGGTCGACCTCCCTGCCCAGCTCAAAGACTGCGAACCCCGTTACCGCGACTTGCGCGCTTCCGAGATCCCCGTCGCAAACTCCGAGGATGGCAAGGTCAATGTCAAGGTTATTTCGGGACGCGCATATGGCGTTGATTCGTTGCAAGAGTTGGCATATACACCTGTTTGGTTGCTGGATGTCAGAGTACAGCCAGGCGGCACTTTCAACACTCCTTTGCCGCACAAGTGGAATGCCTTCATCTACACTCTTAGTAACAGCATCAATCTCTCTTCTGGATCGACTTCGCGAACGATCCCGCAATACCACAATGCTGTTCTGGAGCAAGAGGGTGATAGCATTGTCGCCAGTGTCCCCGAGTCAGCAGACAAGGAGAGCAGATTCATCTTGGTTGCTGGTATGCCTCTGAGTCAACCAGTAAGTTTACCTGCACCTCCCATGATTAGAGTCTGTCTAACCTTTTTCATAGNNATCATCCAATACGGTCCATTCGTTCAGACCAGCACAGAGGGCATCTACAAGGCAATGGCCGACTACCAAGGCTACACCAATGGCTTCGAACGTGCCGAAAACTGGGAGTCGGAGATTGGAAAGAGCATGGTGCACTGAACACATTGATGACAATATTGCAAGAGGAGAAACTAAGTCTCAGCTTTAGATCGGTCTGTATCCTAAGATAATGAGTATATCCCTTCAAAATCTCCTCATGTTTTGAGCTTTTGCTGTAATCGACAACCACAGTGACTACATCGATTGTCCGAAGGGAATAACGCGATGGCTTGGACATTTATTCACGTCTGGGCAAGCATCAAGCATCCTCTATCGCAACCACTACCCCGCACCATGAAACAAAATCGATCATTGGCAGGATAAGCACGAGCAAGATAAGAAGATAGCCCACCTCAGCTCCTAGTTGTGAGCGTACGTACTCTACTTGCTGATTATTACCTACTTATCTTACCAGCAACCATGATGAGTGCCGTTCATGGCGGAAGAACTTTCCGTCCGCCTATCTCGTTGGCTGGACGTTGCTCATTCAGCTGATTGGCCATGTGGAGCTCCAGCTTCGCATGTAAATGCCTGAACCATTGTAGTACAAACTAAGGAACCTTGCTACCTGCTTATGCCCTTATCAGTAACATGGCGACTTCGGGCAAGAAGAAGAGAAAGATATGTATAACAAACCTCCCGAACTGCATCCACTCTTACTTCTCATTCTGAATAGCATATCGGAGACATGTCGCAACGTACTCCATCGACTCGTAAGAGTGTGAGTCAAGAACCTGTTACCTCTGTTCTACCTGAAGGCGACATACCTTATGATCCAAAACATGCCTGGAACCAAGATGAAGAGACGCTAGCTGCACTGGGCTACAAGCCAGAATTCAAGCGCGAGTTCAACCTCTGGACAACCTTTTGCGTCAGTTTCGCTGTTCTGGGTTTGCTGCCTAGTTTTGCTAGTACGTTGTATTATGGCATGGGATATGCTGGAACTGCTGGTGAGTCAACTCTTTTCATCATTGTCCACTAGGAACAGGAGAAGAACAAGTGTTGATGCAGAGTCACAGGCATGACATGGGGTTGGCTGGTCGCCATGATAGGTATCCAGTCTGTCGCCGCCTCGATGGCAGAACTCTGCTCCTCGATGCCAACAAGTGGCGGATTGTACTATGCGAGTGCAGTCCTCGCACCACCCGGCTGGGGCCCTCTCGCCGCATGGGTGACGGGCTGGTCCAACTGGCTGGGCCAAGTCACCGGCGCCCCCTCTGTCAATTACGGCACTGCCGCCATGACTCTAGCCGCAGCCTCCATCGTCAACCCCTCCTTTACACCACAGAACTACCAGGTATATCTGTTGACCGTGCTGTTGATGGTCATTCATGCTTGTATGGCTAGCCTACCCACCAAGACCATTGCTCGCGTCAACAGTTTTGGCAGTTCGTTCAATATCGTGGCGTTGATCGTTGTGTTGATACTCATTCCTGCGGGAACGAATAGACAAGAGAAGGACTTGCCTAGATTTACGCCCAGTAAAGAGGTTTGGGGCGACATCTATGCTGGCACAGACTTTCCTTCTGGTGTCAGTATCTTGATGAGTTTTATTGGTGTGATCTGGACCATGAGTGGGTATGTGTTTCGTCTCTTCTCGGTTGCGATTGGAAGTGCGACTGCTGACAATACGCCAGTTNACGACTCACCTTTCCATCTAGCAGAGGAATGCAGTAATGCCGCCATTGCTTCCCCTCGGGCAATCTTCCTCACCTCGGCCGTTGGCGGTACCTTTGGCTGGTTCCTCCAGCTCGTGGTCGCATATACTGTCGTCTCCATCCCTGACGCTCTCTCCTCTGACCTCGGCCAACCTTTTGCCGCTTACTTAGTTCAAGTCCTACCACAAAAGACCGTCCTCGCTGTACTCTCCCTCACCATCATCGCCGGCTTCTTCATGGGACAAGGTTGCATGATCGCCGCGTCTCGAGTCACCTTTGCTTACGCCAGAGATGACTGTTTCCCCTTCAGCAACATTTGGAAAAAGGTCAATCAGCGCACACAGACTCCTGTCAATGCAGTCTGGTTCAACACTTCGGTGGGCTGTCTGATGCTTCTACTCATCTTTGGCGGCCCCCTTGCCGCCGGCGCCATGTTTTCCATCGGCGCGATTGCCGCCTTTGTCGCTTTCACCACCCCAATCTTCATCAGAGTGTTGTTTGTTGGAAACAGATTTCGTCCCGGTCCTTGGAACCTGGGCAGATTTTCCATTCCGGTGGGTGTGGTGGCTTCCGCATTTGTTATCCTCATGGTGCCGATTTTGTGTTTTCCCTCGGTGGTTGGAAGTAATTTGACCGTGCAGACTATGAATTGGACTTGTGTGGTATATGGGNGGCCGATGACCATGGTGATGATCTGGTGGGTTGTGTCGGCGAGGAAGTGGTTCAAGGGGCCAAAGGTAAATGTGCAACATATGATGTTAGGAAGAGACATTGATGGAGCCGATGTTTTGGTTGGACAGGATGTTGCTGGTGAAGAGGCAGAGGAAAGTGCTTCTCCTGTTGATGCCAAAGCTGCTGAATATGTCAAGGCATAGAAGGTAGACTGTTGCATCCATCAACTGTACTGTACTTTTGACGAGAAAAGCTTCTTGGGATTTGTCAAGTTCAGTAGGCACAGCACGAAGCATGATCACAAGCACAAAGTCGCTGCCACTAGCAATCATTCCAGACATCTACCTGATTATTGAATATCGACCGTCGGCTTCCAACATATCGGAAGGACTCGTCGTCAGACAAATTCACTATAGGTGATTGACAAAATCATGGAACAGGGAGAATACAATAACGAAGCAAACCTTGCACGCTTCAAACACTGAACCACTTGCTCTAGTTCTTGTCATGAATCAGCTGCGGCCAGATAATTCTTGCTAGAGAAGGATTCTCTGTTAATTCGGACTAGCCTTCTTGTTTTCCTCTTAGAGAAGGCATTCTTTCTGATATTCACGATTTCAGTAATAGGCATTGCCACTAGTCCCGCCTGTAGCAGCACCAGGAAAGGCGCCAGGTACGACTGCCGGTTCTCGAGCCATGTTTTCGTCACCACTGTCCTCTTCGTTGCCCCTAAAAGCATTTTGATGAGGATCAATAGGAGCTCGGAGACGAGCCAGCAGAGATGCGTCGAGCGTTGGCGGGGTGAATGGCTTGGGAGTATGGTATTCTCGCCCTGATGGCATGGTCGCGATGAGCGGTTCGCTCGGNGGAATGAGTTGAGTGTTGATNCTGTTGTTCGTTTGCGTGAGTGTCTCTTCCTTTTCTCTGGAGGCCGCCACGTAGGGAAGGCAGAAAGGACATACCGTATCATTCAACTTTACCCATTTCGGTTCCAGCCACTCCAACACTCTCGCCTCTTCAAGCTTTCCTGCATCCAGACCCCAATCATCAGAGCCCTTTTCGACTTTTCGGTCTTCTCGTTTTTCGGCAAAGGTTTGCTGTATTCCCTTCCAGCCTTTGCGCTTGCTGGCGTCCTGTTCTAGGGGCGCTAGACCCAACTCTCGTCTTGCACCTCGTAGATATGCAATGGCTTCTCCAGTCTTGCCTGTCGCTTCGGCATCGCAAGCCAGAAATCTAGCAGCTTTTGCACGAGCAGTGCGACGGAGATCATCGACGTAGTTCAGCAAAGAAGAGTCCAAAGCACCGATTCCAGGGGCTAAAGAAGCAGCTGCTCGTTGAGCGTGATCAGAGGCACAGAGACAGAGGCGAGCAAATAGATGAGCTCGGACTTTGGGGATGCTAGGGGCGGATATCATCCATTCCTTGTCGTCCTTATTTCTTGCTTGAATTACAGCGGTAGTGTATGGATCGTCTTTCAAGACAGTGATGAGAGTGGCTTCTGCGAGAGCCAAAGCCGCGAGAGCAACTTGTGTCGAGTTGACCGTGTCTAGAGGTGCAGAAGCTGGATCCTGGGTATGTAGGTTTAGGATATAGTTGTGAATTGAATTTGCTTCGAGGAGATGTTTCATGGCTGAGCCGATTGCTGCAGTCCGGCGGTCCGGCGAGGGTATGTTGGGCGAATAGAGGATTTGGAGTTGTGCGCGTGCTTGTTGAACCTGAATGTATGCCAGTGTCTGCAGGACGAAAGCGACGTCGTTGTATATGCCTGCCAATGGCGATCGTGGCGGCTCTCGACCTGGCAATGTTGCCGACAGAGTAAGGCGCCATTCTGTTTGCAGCTGTTTCGTATTCGTGACCGACACAGACTCCTCTCCTATTCTGCCCGAAGATATGGCCGACGCAATGCCCAGAGTGTAAGGAAGATAGCCATTGATGGCATCCTGGACTACGCTCAAGTGAGCTGCTTGTTGTATGGTGGGTAATCTTTTGTGCTTTTTAAGGGCATCTCGGAGGATTGATCGTTGTGTCGTCGCCTCAAGTGGTAGAGAAGGATGGCTTGGGCTGCTGATGAAGGCGTCCAGAGGTGTTGACGATGTCGTCGGTAATGTGAAGGGGTATGGCATGGTACTGATCAGATTCCTAAGCTGTAATGGTCGTGTCCAGGTCCGGCAGTTGCTCCATCCACCTCGTCAATCGCGTCGGTCGCGACTGCCAATCTTTCGTAAGGTACAGCTGCGTCACTTCGTATTCATCGTATTCGCAGTCGCACAGCGGAATTGCTCCGCACGTAGGCATGACCCTGGTTCAGATGTTGTTTCTACTTGTATCGTTCAGAATAACCAGGAGCCGCTTCTCCTATGACATGGTTTCCAGCATGACTTTACTTATGATGTGGCCTCACCATTTGAATAGTGGCTCATCACAGATAAGTGACTGAATAGAGTGAGCCCCGTTTGGTGATATCAATACCAGACGCCTCGTGAAGCCGACATGTTGCTTCACCACCATTATGTGAAGTCTTGCTTCGACTCTTCACATTGACTCACTCAGACGGATTTTAGTTTAAAAAGAAACATATCATATCCATTGTGTTCGTATCAAAAGGTCAAAAACAAAACTCGATGCTGCTCAAGAAGAAAAAGACATGCCCCTTTCTGGAACATAGAAAAGGGTATAAAGAAATCGAGACCCCGATGCGCCTGAGTGCAAAACTGATTCAAAAGTCGAGTCATCTAGAACTCGTACTCGTCATCTCTTTGCGAAGAATGGTAGTTCTGGGCGCGTGCAGAGGAAGCGTATCCCTTTGCGCCAGATACAGTGTCGTTCTCGGTTGTGGCATTCTTGTCGCGGCGACCTCCCATGCCATCACCTCGCGTCTTGTAGATGGCGGGCTGTCTCGAGCTGTCACCCTCATCGCCAATATCCCATGAGAGACCACCGTCTCTGCGTCCACCCATGCCGTTACCGTAAGTCTTGTAAATGGCTTTCTCAGGACTGGGTGCTTCAGGCTCATCCCAAAGGGTAGGGGCGCCAGCACGACCGCCCATTCCGTTTCCAGCAGTCTTGTAAATCTTCTTGGGAGCATCTGACTGGCCGAGGTTGAAGTGAGGTTGGTATTCGTCGCCGCGTCTAGACTTGTCGACGTTGGTGTGGTTGCTGAAGGGTGCCTTGGGACCAGCAGGGCTGTCGTCTGAGATCTCAAAGTGAGCGTTGGCGTCTGGGCGAGCGGCGTGAACGATGGGGCGCTTCTCGGGCGAGATTTGGTCCTGTCTTGTGTTAGAAGAAGATAAGCAAGATAAGTGATGCAAATATACCTCGTCTACACCGGGACCGATGTGACGCTCCTGCTCAGGGTTCGGTCTAGGCTTGTGCTTTTCAGGAGTAGTAAAGTCTTGGAAGTCCCAGTTGCTAGAGTGTTTCGAATTCTTGGTAGACATGTTTTTGTACATGTCGGAGGCGGAGGCACTACCCTCGCCGTTGGGGAACTCGAAGTGATCAAACTTCTTGGGATCAATCTTCTTGCTTTCAGGGGAAAGAATGGGTTGGGGCTGCGTGTTCTCGTCGAAGAGACGGTTGTCATGGAAGTTCTTGCCAGAACCGGCCTTGGGCTTTCCTTCGGGCTTGTAACCTTGGTTAGAACTACCGTTGGCGAAGATTTCATCCATCTGACGAGGAGCGGGCTTGGCCGATGTACGAACAGCATATTCAGGGTTGGCGCTGGCCTGGGCACGGGGTTCCTGACCCTCGCCAGTGGCGAACAGACGAGCGTGGAAGTCACCGGTCTGGCGGCCACCAGCTTGCGCCTGCGTGGATGTGCTTACGTCGTTCGAGACAGGGCGAGTGGGCAGCGATGCGGTAGTCGAGCCGGCGTTGTTGATGCTGTTCTTGATTGTCTTGACCATGTTGGTGCCGTCGCGGATGGGCCAGTTACGACCGCTCTTGCCAATGGCGTCGACTTGTCTGAGCATCGTGGCTTGATCCCAGTAGAGTCTGATCTGGCTGATCTTGCCTTGGCTGTTGTATTGGACGACGTGTACCNNTGGCATGAGTTAGATGCAGTAGCTCGTGAGTGCAAGGACATGACCAACCATGGGGAGAGAAGCGACCGAGTCGGCCAGCATGTTGTCATCCATCTGAGGCAGGATAGCACCGCCGCCACGGATGAACTCAAAGGTTGTGTCAGTCTCGACGACGGCACCGTCGGAGCTGCCAAGTGAGCTCAAGACATGTTCTGACTTCTTCTTGACGACCTTCTCCTGTGCTTGGTAGTGTCTGATAATAGCGGCGGACTCGTGGATTGAGGTAGTAGTGGTGATGTAGTGGAGGGCAGCGTCAGGTGCAAGTGCAGACTCGGATGGTGAGCGCAGGAAAGAAAGGTATGTGTCAGCCATGGCAGGCAATGTGCTGTGAGCGGACCGGGCTGTTGAGATGTTGAAGAGTCTTTGAGAAAACAAGGCCAATTGATGGATGAAAGGCTCGACCGACCGAGTAGGCACAAGTAAAAGGCGAGTCAGAGCTTGCTTGTCCGTCTGTTTGTCGCAGACATGAAACGAGGGAAGCCAAGCAAAACATCCTTCCTAATCGGGGCCATTCAACTAACATTTTGGAACACTGTGGGGAAGGCCTTTTATTTTATACTAGAGGCGTATCAACACAACTATATATACATCTACTGAGCTTTCTTGGACTCTGCACTCAGGCGCTGCGCCTCTTCAGGGCTGCCAGGTATCGCTCCTCTTCTCACGGCGTCTGCCACTCCTCTCTTGAGTCCCTCGGTAACGCCCACGACGGGTCTGTAACCCAATCTTCTCTTGGCCTTCTCAATGCTGTAATACCTTGTCATGCAACTGTACTTGACCTTTTGCCTGGTCAAGTTTGGCACTCCAAGCTGGAAGATCCAGAAAATGTACTCGAACAGGGTTGCGATGAACAAGCCAAAGTCTTTGGGAATAGTCCAAACCTGGCTGGGCATGGTTGTATCACCACATTCCTTCCATGCCGTACGGGTAAAGTCCCAGAAGTACATGGGAGAGTCGTTTGTGATGAAGAATGACTCGCCATCCACCTTCTCGTGGCTCAAGGGTGCAATCTGTCCTGCCTCTTCGCGCTCATAAGTCGTCAGGAGAGCAGCTGCTGCCAAATGGTGTGCATGAGCAACATTGGTAGCCTCGGTGAAGTCAAAGAGGTTGGTGTTGTCGCCAAGCTGGAACTTGGTCTGACCCTTGTAGTATGCTGCAAGTAGAGGAGGAAGAAGAGTCTGGTCGTTGACACCAAAGATGCCAGAGGGACGGAGAGCGCAAGTGAGGAAACGAGGGTTTGAAGCAGGTCGGTTGTACTCGAGGACCGACTTTTCGGCAAGAGCCNNTGCAGTAGCGGTCAGTGGATCGTCAAGTATAGACAGACTCGAGAACTGTACCTTTGTGTTGGTGTAGTAGTCGGGCTGTTCCTTGCCAGTGACCAGGGGNTATGTCTCATCGGCATTGATCAGGTCGGTCGCGCTGTCGCTGATGACGCTGGCACTGCTAGTGTAGACAAAAGCCTTGACACCAGTCTCCGAGGCCACGCGAAGCAGAGTCTTGGTTCCATCGACGTTGACCTTGTACAAGATCTCGTTGGCCATGTTGAACTTGGGGCTGGCAGTGTGGATGACAATGTCGGGCTTGATCTTGACGAAGAGCTCGCGCATGGCGCTCTCGCTGGTCAGATCTCCAAAGTGGTACTCGCATCCTTGGATAGGCTCGGCGGCAGGTCGCAAGTCCATGGCCGAGAGCTTGGTGCATGCCTTGCGCTCGAGCAGGAGGTTGATGATTTGTGTTCCCAGTCCACCGCATCCTCCAGTGACGAGCACATGGCCCAGGTTTTTGGTCGATGTCGTCTTGCGACCGATACTTTGACTTGGGACGGCCATTATGAATGTGGTATATGGGTTGCGCAAGAAGGAAGGTCGGGTCTGTAGTTATTGGGAGGGAAAGTCGGTCGATCTGTTCGCGGGGAAATTGCTTCTCGGGAGATTTGACACATTCCAGCTTCAAGGCTCGATTGAGATGTTCACGCCATTTTTTGAGGACAGGTCACTGCAGCACGAGTTCCATGGGATCCTGTAGTAAATAGAAGATGGAGTGTATTGGCATGCTAGAGTATATATTTTCGGCCAGTCCCGGCCACCCCATTCCATCTCTCGACACCGAACCACTCGACAGAAGATTGTTGAAAGCCTGATTATCTTGTTAGCAATGATCAAGACTAGAACGGCTTGGTATGCAGGTAGGAAGATAGTGTTGGGAGTCAGAAGGAAGGCAACGGAAAATGTCCACACGGTTTTGCGCTCTCGGACAAGACAATAATGTTTTTACATCCGAAAATACTTCATCATTCGAGGATAGGGAGGGGTGCGTGATGGTTGGCAAATGTATCTTACCTCTGAAATGTGATTCATCTACAAACGCGACTGTCTCTGAGTTTCGTCGTCGATGCGATGAAGTGGGAGGAGAAGAGTTTGCTGCTGAAGAAATTTGTATCCGACATGAAGATCGTTTGCTTGGCGTGTAGTGAACTTCATCAATCCATCTGCACTATTCTTCTAGTACAAATTGTGCAATCTCTATCAACCTGCCCATCTCGGCCTCAGCATCATGTGATTTCAGCCTTACCATCCGGTGAAGCCACACGGCTCGCGGCAGAGACCCGGTAGTGCTACTTTGACCGCGAAACAAGTTCACTGCAAGGCGAGGAGTCATTTGATCCTTTCAATGAGCCGGCAAGACGACGGGCGACTCATGAAACTCGATCTCTGATCCTTCCCGCAAAAGAAGCAAGACGACTCGAATGGAAGAGAGAGACCATTTTCCTGGAACTGACGAGGTGAGGTTTGGGACACAGCCCGTCGGCGTTGCATTTGGGCCGACAGCCGACTTTGCTCCAACGGTCTGGACAGACCACGGACCCTGATGATGATGAGCTCGACTACGAAGGTGAGCACGAAGAGCAAGGTGGTATGCGACTGGTATACGGATTGAAGAATCTGAATACTCTTCAATCAGAGAAACCATTGATACAATAAGATCAATCAGCGTTAGAGAATTGATTGGTAAAGTGTGCACGTGGACGCGTGATGACTGGTCCGAGGAAGGAAGGCTGAGGCGGAGTACGAATGGCTGCTGCCTAACAACTCCAACAAGCCTGCGACGACCGAAGGAAGAGTCGAATGAAACGACTTTCTTCGCCCTTGTCAACGTGGCCTTCGCTTCTTCAGCATCGTAATCCTTGCTTGGCCTCGCAACTGTTCATCTATCTCTTCTCCGCGCTCAACTTTGCGACGTCTGTTTTACTCCATCCTCGAATCTCGACCCTTATACTCCGCCCGCTATCCCGCATCTCGACACCGCCGCCATCACCGGTCAAGCTCTTGCTACCCACACCACACGTCGCGTTGCTGTCCGTTCTTGATCTGCGCCCAACTGGGTCCACCATTCACAGCTGTCGCCGCTGTCCGGACGTGACTCACCCGCACCAGCCGTGTCTTGCGACCAATCAACTCCATCTCGGCCCTGTTTGATTCGACCAACGCACTCTCTCAGACCACCTAGCTGCACCGACAGCATCCTTCCAACATGCCATCCAAAAACTCATCCCACCCCCGCCGTCGCCAGGGCAGTCCTTCAACCACTGCTGCCCTGATCGACTCGTTCGCCGGCCTGTCTATTCAAAAGGGAACCACCTTCCACTCTCCACCATCCAACAAGTCAGAACTCTTCAACCCTCTCGACGCCATCGCCCGGTCTATGACTACTCGCTCCGTCACCAGTCCCAAAGCTCTTGAAGATTTGCTTATCGGCGCCGGCGAGAGAAGAGCTGTGGACTTCCTCCTCAAAGTCGACCAAGTCATCGCCGACAACAACTCCGCCGCTGCTCTTGGAAAGCTTCTTTCCGAGCCTGAAGCCTTGCCCCACCCTCGCTGTGTTCTCGACAACTCTGGTCTAGAAGGCATCGCTGAAGAACGTCGTGATAGTCCCAACAATGCTTATGATAGTGGTCTGGGTTCTAGCATTGCCGATTCGGACGAATTCGACAACAAGAAAACCAAGGCATCGACCAAAGGTACCGTTCTCTCGCCTCCTATTGTCGACAATTTAGGCAGCGCTAATTATTGTTTATCGTCAGGCTCCGATCTGAAGAGGTCTACTTCAACCTCCAGCTCGTACGCCGACGAACATCTTAGCGAGTTTGCCTGCGAGCAAATCCACAACTACATCGTCAAGCCTATCCTTCAACAAAAGGCTCTCAAGGACTTCCACCCCCTTGTCAGAGGAGTTCCTCGACGCATCGCCTCTCGACAGATCACCACCCTTCGTGACCTCGAAAAGACGTTGGTCTTCTTGGCTCCTGTAAGTATTCGCTGCGGCCTTTCTGCCCGCTCGGCTGCTTATTTTCGTTCTATTTCTCAGGATTACTCTCGTACTCCTTCTGATTATCTCAACTTTTGCGAAACCTACATCGACTGTCTTCACGCTACTGTCGACATTGTCCACGAATCAGACCACTGCTCACCCTCAGATCGCCCCTACACCAGCAACTACTTTATCGACTTGGTCGGTCAAATCCGCAGATACGCTCAGATCGTGGCCTCAACTCGCGCAAAGAAAGAACGAGGAGAAGAACTCGACGAGATGGATGTCACCTCGTAAGTTTAGCCGATATTCCAAATTTAGACTTTGCGCTAACAGATTACTCNNAGCGATGAACGCCTGCAACTGCGGGGAGGTGCAAGTGAAGCCGACGGTGTGACTCACAACACGCCTCTCCAACTCGTCCGTCACCAAGCTGGCAAGGATATTTCACTGCTCGATGGCTCCGTTCTTTCTTCTCGTCCAGACCACTCCATGTCTTCATCGAAGCGTCCCATGATGGCTGACTCTTTCAATGATGACGTGGAGAGGTCCATGGCCCGTCGTAGAAAGGGCGAGCCTATCAAAACGTACGACTGTGGCTTTGACGGATGCGACAAGATCTTCCGCCGTCCTTGCGACCGTACGAAACACATGAAGAGTCATGAGCGTCCCTGGAAGTGCCCTCACACTGACTGCAAGTATCACGAAGAAGGCTGGCCCACCGAGAAAGAGTGCGAACGCCACGTCAACGACAAGCATGCCGAGTCTCCGATCATGTATGCTTGTTACTGGTCTACAGTGAACAACTGCCCCTATCAGTCGAAGAGACTGAGCAATTGCAAGTCTCACATGGAGAAAGCCCACGGCTGGGTGTACATTCGTTCAAAGACGACCGTCAAGAACGGCAAGACCAAGGTGAAGCCTGATCAAAAGGAGCCTGTGCAACAACCCATCAAGTTGATTGGAGGTGTCGCTGCAAGCGCGTCCACTCCATCAACTTCATCAGTCTCTGCATCTACATCTACAACTCCGTTCATGCACACAGAGCAATACCCTCCAGTGAGTGACCTATCGACCACCCTGACTTCTCCCCAAGAGTTCTCGGTCCCCTCGATGGGCCAAGGTATCATGACACCCTTTGAGAGTCCCGATTTCGACATGGCTATGGACTTCCAACCAGAGTTTGTTGACCACTTCAACTTTGATTGGGCTAGTGCTTTTACTCCAGCTGTCAACAACCCTCTCTACACCCCTTCACTTGTTGACGACCGTCGTTTGTCTCACGACTCGTCGGCTGTCAACACTGCACCCAACTCAGCGCTGCTTCAAGGTGAGACATCCTTCGATGATGCTTTCAACCCTCCCACGCCTGAGGACAGCCCACAATTCGTCACCAACACTGGCTTCAAGATGGAACAGGGCTTCCAGGCAGGCCCGAGTAACTACATCAGTGATCAGAGCCTGTTGTTCTCGCCACCTCAGTTTGTGGTCAATGGCTCTGATCCCATGCTCACTGCTCCCACTCAACCTATGACCAACCAAGTGTTTGGCGGTGACGGTTCCATGGATATGCCGATGACCAACGATGACTTTGACATGTCCAAGTACCTGCCCTCAGACTACAACAACACCGACTCTCTATTCCCCGCAAACAATGACTATGGTCTCGGCGCTCAGTTCGACGAGCAATCGTTGTTCCCTTCTAGCAACATCAACACTGCCACCAAGATCAAGGAGAACCCTTACGCGAAGCTTTTTCCCGAGCTCCAGTAGAAAACGCTTTCTACATCATCGACATACACCATTTCGACATTTCTGCTTTCTATCATCATCCCCACTCCACGCTTCTGTCGTGTCGAGTTTTTCTTTCTTTCCATATAACTGCACGCGGTTGTGCTTTCATGACGGTTACGAAGACACATAATAATTTGGATGGACGGTCCCCAAGAGGGTGAAAAAGGAGGCACACTGAAGAAAAGAGAAGATAAAAAAGAGAAGACTGCTTCTGCTACGCGCTCTGCTCGTTTTCTCCCTACGTTATCAAGGCGTTGGATGGATCATGGTTTCACGGCTCGAAAGCAGGTTGTCATTCTGAGACAGCACTCAAGGTTCGCCGTTTACGCTCTCCGCCAAAATTGACTTCTTTCCTTATGCTCCACTGCGGAGGTATATAGACCAATACAAACACTCTCACCTGATACATCGCTGTTCTTTCAAAGCCAAGTGCACGTTCAACATGCGCATAAGTACGTTGTTTCACCTCTGATATCGTCTGATAGAGTTATGCTGCTTGGCACGTCAAGGTCGAGCCTATCAGCTCTCTTCCTCTTGATATTTAGACATGTGTGGCCTAGAGCAAAGAGATGGCCAAGCATAGATGAGCGTGTTGATAAGAGAACGATGATGTGATCAGGTTTTGGTTCTGCGAACTCAAACTGACGTGCTGATAGCGTCTACCAACCATCGCACACGACTTGTCCGTAGAGATATCATAAAGCAGGACGAGCTGAACAGATGTGACGGTTTTTCTCGGACATCCTGCCTGGCATCACCTGCCAAACTTCTACAGTTATTGACTAATCCCATTGTCTTTCGTTGTTACTCTGACAAGCATATTTTATTTCTCTCGAGATCTCACCTGAGCGACCAAAAATGACCTCGCCAAAAGGCAGACGCCGCTCTTCGCTCTCAGCAGCCTTCGACCACTTCCGCAACAAATGCCGCAAGACAAGAATTGACAGTCTTCTCTCTCCGCCCAAACTGGACTCTGGGACCTCCAATGATGAAGAGGAAAGCTTTGATTCTTCCTCTGACTCTGACGGTGTTCCTTTGACTGCAAGATCTGGAGACAAGAGCTTTGAGCATCGAGATGTAGAGGAGAATCAAGACGAAGACGACAACAAAACGGAGAGCACCTCCAGCCGCTGTGACAGCAAGTTACCCGACTTCAACTTTGACGATTGTTCCTTTAGCACTGGCTTTGAACTCGGAGCAGAGGATAGCGACACCAGTCCAGACGAGGACAAACGACTTCTGTCCGCTCTTGCAGACTTCAATGCCGAAGAAGCTACCGAGGTCGAAGACTTTGCTCGCTACTTTCATCTCTCTCGTCGCCAGCACCGTGGTCATGGAAAGATAGTTGAGGAGAAACAGATTAGTCCTACTGGGAGCATGGATACTGGAGTTGCGGACGCGAGTTCGTTGACGAACTTGCTGCATTCGGACAACTCGGGCTCGACTCTGGATTTTGAGGTCGGTGTGCCCTTACAGAGGACTGTCGCCAGAGCGAACCTGCAGCAAGAGCGGACGACACAGACTCAGACTGAGCCTCAGACACATGAGCAGAGTCTTACGCAGAGTACCTATGCTTCTTTGGACGAGGTCGTGAGGGACACTGTGCTGATGAAAGACAACAAGGAAACGAAAGAAGATGCAGAGGAGAGTGGGAGAGGAAAAGAAGTGCCAGTGGTGAGGACGGTTGATGGAGTAAGGTTGGATGCTAGACCATTGATCAGACATTCAGGGACTGCAGCTCCACCACACAGCTCGTTGCAGCTGCACACAATAACCTCCAACTACGAGAACTTCCTGGAATCTACTGATCAATGGCCATCCATCTCGCGATCTGTCACAGAAATCCCAGGAGCGCGCAATCGATCTCGACCCCAACTTACTTCTTGGTTCTCTTCATCGTCCGAGTCAAGTGTGGAAGGCATACAGCTAGGCTTACCTTCCTACCGTCGTCGCAGCGCCATAGAGTCACACCTCTCTCCACCACCAGCGGTGGACAGGAAACGCCATCAAACAACTCTGGAGACAAGACGTCCTGTCTCCTCCCACATCCCAACATCACATCCATCAAATATCTCCAACATCACCAGCGCACCCAAAACCAACCAACCCAACAATACCAAANGTCCAAAAATCGAATACTCACACACACCTCCTTCCCTAACAAACCCCCCAGCACCAAAAAACTACACCACCCTCTCTTCACCCTCTTCAATCTCTACCTTTCACTCCACCCTAACCGCAAAAATCAACACTGCAATCTCCACCGGCGCCATAAAAGCAAATCAAATCAGCGTCAAAGAACGCGTCCGCAGACTCTCTGGAGCAAGGAGTTTGCAGCAAGGCTGGGAAGCTGGTGGTAGGGTTATGACTGAAGGAGCGAGAAGGATGAGTGGGTGGGGAAGAGACNTAGGAGAAGCTGTTGTTGCGTCTGGGGGTGTGGGTGTGGGGTGGGCGGATGGGCAAACAGATGGAGATGGGGATATTGGAGCGAGGAGTGCTAGTGTTTATTATGGGGGTGGTTTCGTTTGAAGTGCTTTGAGGAATCTTGCGAGCTGGTCTCGTAAGAGCTTCTTGGTGTTGGAAAGAATAGGGAGTTTGGGGGACGAACGAAATTGTCAAAATCGAAAGAGTGTACTTACTCTATCCTCCCCTCCCCATGCGTTAAGCTTTGCAATTCCACCCTCCTCCCACGAAAGAGTAGAGCGTGGTGTGCACTATAAAAAGGCACAAAGGCTTTCCGGAGGCAGATGAGCGGCCAAAGAGAGCCACTGAACTGTCGGCTCCCAGTAGTAACTGCCTGTCTTCTGATATGATCGTGCATTTCCATAGTCATATGCGTTACGCACTCTGGCACGCGGGGAGGCTGTTCATCTGCCTACTTCTCGAGCTCGAAGGAGGATCTGTGGGAAGGGAACACAAAAACAAAAGTTGTCGCAGCCGTGAATCGAACACGGGGCTCGTGCATGGCAAGCACGAATTTTACCACTAAACCACTGCGACGTAGATCATCACGTGATATGGAAATAACTCAAATAGAGTTTCATGATCAACAGTTTTGCTGAGTAGACCCATAAGATCAAGTCCTTTGAGCATTCCCCTCGAGAAACATTAGCACACATCACACGCCAGCAACATCGTCTTTTCTACCTCGAGCCTTCCAAGACCTGAGTCATCTAGTTCACGTCTAGAAGCCTTGAGCTATGGACATCCAATTCGATCCTTTCAGTTTTTGTGTTGCAACATTTGCTCTTGCTGTTGCGGTCATGCAACTCTACTGGAATCGACCTCAACGTCAGGACACTGTGAGTTGATGGTTGTGCGCCTTGAATCGACTGTATCCGACTGACTACCGAGGAGACCATTAACACTCATGCCTGATGATCTTGCGCTCAGTCGCAGTCTGATCACATTTCGTCCCCACGATGCTTGAGTCAAGGCCGCCAGTACGGATGGAGCTCCGGTTCGCTGAGCGACTGATGTGGGGTTGGAGGACGGATGTTGCATACCTAACTTGATGGACGCGTTGGCAACACGCTTGCACTCTCTTCTGCGTTTCCTCCCCTTTCTTCTCAATCACCTTCCCTTTCTCTATCCTTGTTTGTAGCATGAAAGAAGAATACATGGGCCATGATGAGAACGGATTCGTAAGATGCAGTCGAATTTGCCATGCGGTTTTCTTGTTTACCTACAGCCGTCGTGGCGTTGACTTCGTTGAATGTGTTGTAGTTATGGAAAAGAACATCTTTGTCTTACCTTTTCCTGTTGCTCTTTCACCTTCCACGTCGTCGTACACGTGCTTACCGGATCACTGGTACCGGTTTCCAGCATCAATGCTCTGATCCGAATCATCTTGGACGCACAGAGATCTGTCGAAGGCTCGCTGCACAAAGATAAAGTTCTCGGATAGAATAAGAGATCGAGCTCCCGAAACCGAATGATATCGAGACACAAGCCCATCTACAGATGTTCCATGCTCCCATACAACACCACTCATCATATCATATTCGCATGTCCACCGCAATACTGGATAGTTAGCCAAACCATTATCAAGGTGCGATTGAGGTGATACTAACCCCCACACAGTGATGTTAAACTCAAGCTTCATCTGCGGGCCGGTGCCGCTCCCCGGACATGACCGTTGCGCTACCAACTTGTCAGTTTTTGGCTTGTGCCTGTTCTATATACGAATAATGCTTACTTCGATGTCATGTCGAGGCCTTTGCTGGAAGAGTTGTGCGGCCGCGATGAGTACTCCGAGTATGGCAAATACAGTCTGGATTGTGGCAAGAATCAGTTCAGGGTCCATGACTTCTTGCCTGGTTGGGTGTTGGCACGAGTCAGAAAATAGCTAGGACGATGACGAGTTAGGGGTTTAGGTACAGTTCTGCCGTCAACAAGACAGGCGTGAATCGTTGACTCGAATGGTTCGGTAGGTGAGAAGAGAATGTTGAGTGTTGCTGAATCATTCTGTTGTTCTTTCGCCTTTTTATCTTACTACAGTTCATACGAGTAAACTTTCGACTGTAGTCCAGTTACTCGGCGAAGTGTTTATGTGCTTCGCCATGGCCAAGGCAGGTCGACTTCCTAGGGTAAATTGATTTCTTGGGGCATGCAGACTAACGGTTGCATACTTGATCATAATCTTCGCGGGATATCTCATTGGCTATCACGCATGCTGACCGGCTAATCATATGCCAACTATCAAGCTACTGTCGCTCCTCTATGGCCACAGGATTCGCACTCTTTACACAAGTTCCTTGTCCTAAAATTTCTCTCGCGACACAAATAAGTACCTGGCTCATTCAACCATCCTTGGCTCCTTCACAGACCTCATGTCTATCCTGACAAGAGTCATACGTTTTGATTCTCGTATTCTACCTCCTTCACATTGACCGCTTGGCTTGGTCCTCTGCTTGTTTTCGTTGCCACTTCACTGATGCCTAATGAGATTACAAGTCTATCTCGACCACCCTTGTCTCCGCCTTCAAAGTGTCCATACTCTCTTGACATTACATAGTAATATTTAAGGTTGTCCTACGAACGGCAGAGACAACCTGCATACTTAACAGCATGTCAGCACATAGGAGCATCCGCGCTATTTACAGTCAAGACTTCACGCAGCAAAGCTAGCATTAGTGAAGAAAGCAAACATTCCATAAGCACATCTTGTTTTTCGAACAAATCTTCTTCCATCTATAGGTTTGTGAATGTTCGTAGAACTATGATAGAGTTCCGGGAATGGGTCCGGCCCGCGAATGGGACACGGCTAGATCTGGGTCCAGCGACAATCTAACTGCATACGGCTGAGGCAGATCCCCTCCCTGTTGCCGTTGATCATGTGTTTGTGAAGTATTGGTTGGTTCGTGACGAAGAAGCGGGAGTATATGGACAAATGGTCTCCGAAATTTTGGGGATAGAATGATCTGAATGTATCGACAAGATACTAGATTTTCAAGGAAGAACATCAACGCTTGAGGCTAATAGAGTTGATCCAACTGCTCTGGTAAACATGGGAGCGTAGGATGCGAACAAGCATCAGAAAAATACAGAGTCCCAAAACTCCGACAAACAACTAGACATATCGATATCAGACAAAGAGCGTGAAAGAGTCCTGAAAGAGAGAAAGTAGAATTCTAAGCGCTGAAAACAAGATTGAAGAAACGGAACAGAAGAGTGAGATGCGAGCGAAGCTTGGTTTTCGAAGTCAGATGCATGATGACGTCGATTTTGCTCCCCACCACGCCGGGCTTGTAGTTGAACCCCGATTACTTCGTTATGCTTGGCCATGCAACATGTAAAGTTCCTGGACCATCTGCAACAGGAGTGATTAGCGAAAAATCCATATAAGACTCGGGGGTACTGCTTACTTGAGCTCTATGCTGAGGCCGATTCCAGTAAAGCTGAATGACAGCGATGGCAAGAGCGAAGGTTGCGATACCAAAACTGAAGGGGTCGAACTGGATGTCCATGTTGACAGTTCGGACCGCTTCTTCTAATTGTGTAGATGATATATGGGAGTCTGTGGACCAGCGACACAGTATCTAAGTGAAAGACGGGTGCAGTATAGCTAAGTTGTTTGTATCAACAGTCAAGAGAGAATTCGAAGGTCTTCATGATGGAGGAGAATAGGTTGTATCAGCTTCTTCGAACCCTTTATGGTCGTTTCCCCCACTGCAGTCGCTGCTTTCTCCAGACTTGGCCGTTTGAAGGCGGTCGGGTGAGAGATGCGTCCGAATATTTCGTTGGAGTCTTTCTGCGCTGCCAAGAACACGGGATGGCTGCGCCCACTTCAGTACTTGTACAAGGGTCACGCTGCCCGGCATGTTTGCTTGTCTTTGCTCCTGAACTTCTTGAATTCGTCGATTCTACGCGAATGACTTGAGGAAGAAGGAATAGCAGGCGCGAGTCCAAGATACGAACCTCAGGCTCTTACTCAACTACTCACGGTAGAACGGACACATAGATATCTTGTGCTTATCACCATCACAGCTCCAACAACAAGACAAAACAGGTGAAAAAAGCGCGTATCCCGTAAACTGCATCTTCTCTCGTATGATTTTCCTTTCATCATCTAAAAGTACAGTGAAAGCAAAACTCTTTCCCGTGAACGTTCCTTCCTTCTTCCATTGTATCAGAGACGCCTTTTCCATGATGCATGCTCTTCGTCTGTTCATATTCTTCGTTGAACAAAACCCACAGAGTAAACGCCTTGGAGATGCTCTCCCATATTTGCATTGCCCTCCTGTATCCTCGCTATGCATGTAGCAAACTCCCCTTCTTCCTGAACCCATGAACAGAGACCTCCCATAACGCCGGTTTTCTTTTGTCTATCTTTTTTTCATTCTGGTGTCCTATCGGTTAGATTGCGTTTCGCGATCTCTCTAGTCACTGCGTTCTGCAGTCATCTCCGTGGCGGTTCAGCAATTGTTTCGTGAGCGGACCCTAATCGTTGTCACCGAAATCTGCTGCATCGCTCAGAGAGTCGTCGGATTCCATGAATTCGTTATCTGAATCTGTATTGCTCATCAGTGTGGTGTTCTGCAGACTGAATACATTGAAGCATAACTCACCATTGTCAATCTCAACAACGTTGGAGTTAGAAGGCGCGTCCGAGACTGATTGTTCATCCTGCCAGTCACGGATACTGTTGCGACAATCCTCGTGATCGTTCAACAGCTTATCGATATTGCTGACCTCGTCGAACAACTCCTGCACAGCAGTTTCAAGCTCGGCGTCCGCTTCGGTCTCGGGACCCTCGCTCTTCAACCATTCTTCCAGCTCGGTTTCGAGACTAGAAGACACCTGGCTCAAGTATTTACCACAGTCCTGATATGCGTCGATCGAGTATTCGTATATGCTGCATTCGAAGTTTCTGGCCATGCCAGTGTTCAACTCAGCAGCAAGCCCGGCGAGCAGCTCCTTTATGGCCCATACCTTGTGATTGAGAAGTTGGATTTGATCCAGAACGTAGGGCTTTGGAAGCACATTTTGAACCAGAACACTGTTTCTCAACCAGTCTCTAGCATCTC